GTATGTAACAGAGCTACTTCTACTACACTGAAGCACATGTGATAAGAGAAGAGGGCCCAGGCCCTTCTCCATATTCTCTGCATACCTGTTACTATCACACAGCTGCTCTCAAGTCTACAGTTTCCTGTGCAGTACAAACTGCATACCACTTCCCCTACGGAAAAAAAAGGGCCTTGCTTGTTCTTAATTGACGATGGAAATACTGTCATATTTTCCACTAGCCAAGCTTGAAACCATTACTGAACAAACCTTCATTAATTTTTCCACAACATTTTGCAGAAATGTCAGGAAACAGCTGCACCAGAATGATTAACTGTCCTTATCACTAAGGCTTCACTGGCCAACTTCAAATTATATAGGTTTTCTTCTTTCAAAACTCTACATTTAGTGGTATTTTTTAGTTATTCTTCAGTTGACTGTTTCAGTACAATAGTTTCTCTTCAAAAGTATCTGATTGCACAGGTTCAGTGGCAGACAGACATTTTATGACCAGTGGAAGAATTTGTACAGTTTGGAGCTGCATATTTCTAGGAAAAGATTGCTTCCTTCAGATTGCTCAGCTGTGTCTTTCTTGGATCAAATTCAATGAAATTCACAACTTGCAGTCAGATTGTATTTGCCAGTCAGGCTGAATTCATTACACTGACATAATCTTATCTTGCTGCATTTTCTTATTCCTTTCTTTTCCTGTCCTCCTCTTTTTCTTGTCCCTTCTCTCTCCCCACTCTCTTTCTCACCTCTTCTTTGAGCTATACCGTGTGTCAAAACTTATCATACAATGCCCTGTACATTTTCTGGCAAAAACAAGTGGAATAGTACACATCACCATCCCAAGCATGCAAACGCTGAGATGCTAGAAGGCTTAGTACCAAATGTAAGTGCAGCCATCTGGAGGTAACTGCTAGTGTGGATCTGAGATTCCTAACTGGCTGAAACTTTGCAGCCTCAGAACTTTTCAGCAAAGTGTCAGTGAGTAAGAGACTCCACTCACACGGATTTGCACTGGGCACTGGACAGTAATTTTTCAAAAATGTAAATTCTTCGAATTTCGTTTAGAACACATCAAGGTTCTTAGGATTATTTTTAAAGACTGACATTGTAGTATAGTGTCCTGCTTATATTTTAAAATTATGTAGGGTTATGATAGCATGGCATGTAACAATAATTCTGCATATATATCAGTGGCAATTTAAAATTGCAATTGTTCGCTCCATGCCTTAACTGAAGCTGTAAGCCTTGAATCTATAACCTTAAGATATTTTTAGACAGAGGAAACTGTAGATGCAAATTGGTATAATACATGTCTTGGAGGTGAAATAAAATAATGTCATCAAGTGGGGGGTTCAGCAGTTCAAGTCTTCATGCTGTATGACCCCCTATCCCTAGGAAAAAAATAGGGTACTTGCAGAATTACAAAAAATGAAAAATATAAACGTTTATCTAGGTTTTGTAAAGAATCCTTCCAGCTGCCTGTATTTCAAGACCATTTGGATGCCTTGCTTTTTAGAAGTACCTCTCGCACAGCAGTGTGCACTGCAGCACACCATCCCCACACAGCTCTGCTCAGGGAGAGCCAGCCACTGATGCCCTCACCCTGTGCTGGGTCAGCTCCTGAACTCCTGCATTGCCTTCAGCCTGGGAGCCCCTGGGCCAGGATGCCCCACACACAGAATGCTGGCCTTCTTATTTAATTGGTGCAGTGCCTGCTACGAAAAAAAAAAAAAAACAAAAAACAAAAAAAAACAAACAAAAAAAACCAAACCAAAACAAAAAACAAACAAACAAACAAAAAAAACAAACAAAAAACCCCCAAACCAGCAGCTCTGTTTTTAAATTACTCTACCAAGATATCTGCTTAGATGGCAGAAATTGCAGTACACTGTATTCTGCCTGAAATACGCATGAATATATATGGGGTTCTATTTACAAGATATGAAATACTGCCAAAAGCGTACGCAGGTTTTTTAAGGATGCTGTTTTATAATACACAACGCCAAATTTCTCCTTCACGATATCCTTACGTGTCTCTGCTCCAGTCTGAAAGCAGCAGCTCGCGGTGCCAGAGGATTTCAAGGACCGTGTCCTTGCAATGGGTGGGATGTCAGCCGCACATTGTGCGCGGGGCGGAAATGAAGTTGTTAGGTTTCATTAAACACGCGCTGATTTTTACGGCTTTGGGGGTTGGTTTCGGTTCTTTTGGGGGTGGGGACGCTCTGAAATAAGCAGAAGGCAAAGCGGGAGGGTGCCGCAGCTGCCCGAGGGGACGAGGCTTTTCCTTCCACACGCCGCCCGCCCCCGCCGCAGCCCCGCGGCCGCCGCCTCGCCTTTCGCGCCCGGCAGCTGCGAGGCTGGAGAGAGCAGCGCCCATTCCTGCCTCCCCTGGACCTTCTCGTGTCTCAGCCCCCACCCCCATCCCGGCACAGCCGTCCGGGAACGGACGAATGGATTTGCTGTCCAGCCACCCTGCTCGGCCACCTCCGGGACGTGAAAGAAGAAACGTGTTTTGCCTCTCGCTGGCTACTAGAGGCAACAGAAGCCAGTGCTTTCACTTCCCCGAGTTTGCACATCTTCAGCTCAAACCTACAGGAAAATTCAATCTCATTCCATTCACACTCTCAGCAACGAGCAGCAGGGTGTAGGGGCAATGTCACAACAAAAAGAGGGACCTTGAACTTGCTTCACCCTTTGCATAGTCATTTATATTTGGGCAAAGTGGATAACAGCTCCTTTAGCACTAGCGTAGTGGTATTTTATGCTCGCTCGGCATTCACTTTAGCCACGTATAAATAGCAAAAGGTTTCAGGCAGTAGAGAATCGGGACCAGTATCTTCAAAGGATTCTCAGCCAAAATAAAGCAGCTAGTCCTCCACATCACAGCTTGCAATCTTGCTCAGCTGCAGGAAACATTCCCCGAAGGACGCCTGGGACTGCTGGTTTGACAGGATTGCATGCTCTGGTTCTTGGAGAAAATGTGCCTTCCTACCACCCCATGCCTAGTGGTGGAATCAGACTACAAGCTTTCACCTGTAAAGTAGGCAGTAACAGGGTTCCATTTCTTAATGGGAGCCTTTTATTAGCTCACGCAGAGTATTCACTACCCTACCAGTATTAAGTGCTTGCCTTAATATCCTTACCACACGAGGTAGTGGTACATATCATCATAGCTACAATAACACTAGTTTGAATTATGTTAATTGAGAGCATCTATTCTAAAATTCAATTGTTCCAAACAAAAAGTGAAGTGTGCTATTACTTGGCTGACACATTATCAGGGAGAGTTCTCAGTGTACAAGAGCCACAACAACAAGGACCCAATGCACACAAGTGCCATTAAGTTTGCTAACATGCTAACAAAACCTGAAAAATGTATCCTAAAACCCTATTTCAGAGGATGGCAGCCATACTCTTGCGTACCAAAGTTCTCAGTTTTCCACTTAAATCCTGCCTGGTGAGTCAGGACATAGCCAGGTTTCCATACTCCAGCAGTTTTCCATTACTCCTCCTTATAAATTTCACACGCTGTTAATGCTTTCCAAACTGGCAACAGAGCTCAGGGGTGCATGAGGACAGTTTATTTTCCTGCTGAACTTTAAACAGAAATCCCACAGGACCTGTGGCGGGGGTAACAACCCTGCTGACAGCCATCAGTTCACACCCTCTCGCCCGCCCAACTTTGATCCCAGTCTGCAAAGAAACATCTCGGGCACTCTCAGTGACTGCAGAGGGGAAAGAGAACAACACAGATACCCACGATTCCCATTTGTAGGGACTTCGAGAGGGATCCATAAGAAGAGATATCCCATATAGCACCATCCTGGACTGTAGAATATTTGGAATCAGTTACAGGGTTGACCCAAGGTTCAAGGGATTGCCCTTCTCAATTTAACTCCTTCTTTCACTGAATTAATATATAGAATGAAACATAGGTCAAACACTATTTACATAATTCTGAAAAATCTGGCAGGGTTATCTCAAAATATGTTATGTGTTTTCTTTGAACACCTTCTCCTGTGCTCATGATATGAGAATCTCCAGGGTCCTACTTATACACCTAGCTTCTATGGCTGAAGATAAATATTGGATAATTTAAAAAAAAAATGAATGCCAATGAGAGAGATCAACCTTTCCTTAACCTTTCATTCTTCCAAGCTTGTCTTATTAAATTCTAAGGGATAACAATTCTCTGACCATCAAGGATGTGCCAGTACAGAGAAGATGAGAGAAGAGGAGCTTCTCAGTCCTTCAGTCTCCTACAGCAACAAAAGTAACCGTGTGCACAGTTTTTGAGACTGTGAATGTGAAAACTGACCAACTTGGGACTACCAACCCAAATAAACATAGTGCTGCAATCGGTAGCTGAAAATGGACCTTTTCTTGACAAGATAAATTGTCTTCTGAACTATCTGATGTCACAGCAAGACCTCTGTTGGGGATCCACTAACTTTAAGCTATTTTGGGTGTTATTGCATACAACAACATCAGCACTTTCATAACTACAATTTCTACATGCCCAAGTGTTCAAGACCCAGAGGAAAAATTAAACCTTGAACAGTACTGTCCATGGTGCACTTGAAATGGCAAGACTGTCAAGGAGAAGTCACCAACTTGTATTTTAGGACAAAGTAAATAAAAATCCCCAGACATTTCAGATATTAAAACCTCACCCACCATATCTTCTTGTATTTTTACAAGCACACTTTTCTGCTTGTTTAGTCCAAGAAGTGGAGTCCCTGGATACCTGATACAAGAATTGCATAAGAGAAAGGAAAGAGGAAAACCAAGTACATGGGTAAAGCAAAGACATCACTTAGAAATTAACAAAAACCTGCCCCAGAAGAGAAATGTCTCTAATTTTGGCAAAAGTTGGTTTCAGTTATAACAAAAGGACACAAGATTTAAATGTGGGTGACTTTCACATGAAGCCTTTTTAGAAAGAAGAACTGTGCTCTCACACCCGCTCCCTCAGCTCACTCAAAACCACCCTTCCTTTGCTCTCCTACCTGGCTGCTGCCATCAAAGGTGCAAGTGACTGATGGTTCCAGTCAAAGCAATTTGGTTCACTACTCCAGCAAATATGGCTGTTGACTCTCTCTTCCACCTATTTGGAAAACAAATATTAAAGATTTTAATGACTGTGATCAATTCAGCCTGCTGTTTGATTTTATAGCCTAACTGACTTTATGGTGTTGGCTACATCAATACATGTAAGAACTTCAGAGATTGTCACAGTCCTTTTTGCTACCTTCAGAGCAATGTGGCACCAGCAATCAGTAGCTCTCCTGTGGTTTCCAACTTGCTGTGGGATAGAATATACATCAACTAATGCACAACAAAGTGAAAACAATAGACATACAAGGTCAGTAGGTGCATACAAATATCTATTTTCAGACATGATATATACAAAAAGCAGGGCAAACACAAAGTATGAAGTGTCTTTGTAGTATCTTTACATTTAGGCCTTGTCATTCCAAGTGTTTTGCCTAATTTCTGTCTAATTTTGAAAACATCATGCCCAAATACTAACTTAAGAGCACATAATTTTTACTTAAATGCAAATACTTTCCTGTTACTGAACCAGAGGAACGTGATTGTCTTTCATCCTGCTTCTTTCCTATTTAGCACTGTGCTTAAAAAGTGAGATCACATCTAGGAATTCCCTTTTCCTTACAATGCTAGTACGTTTTAGAAAGTAAGTTATTAGCATACACTTTGAAAAACAGTCATAATCCTTACATTTCTCTTTACATGTGATGGCACTCTGGGAAGGACCACAAAGAAAGCACTTTCTGCATACAAAAGGCCTGCTGTAGGCACGTCTGCAGGAGTGTTTGTGCATCCGAGGCACAGAGCACCAGGAGATATGTTCATTAATGTGTTAGACACGTTCGACAGCCACAGGCTGCCCTGCTCACACCGTGCAGGGAGTGGGTTATTGAATACCCCTAACTGGGACATACAGACAAGGCACCAGGAACTGGAGGCTCAGCTCTAATTTGTACACAGCAGAGCTGACTGAAACGCCCATCTTGTTAATATTGAGGCAACAAACCTCCAGTGATCTTGTAGTGACAGTGTACTCCAAAGGGCCTGGCTGTTCTGATTTTACAAAGACTGGTGTGAGCACACAGACAACCACAGCATGCATTTTGCTCAGGGCATTTTCTTTCAGGCTTCCCTGCGTCCCTGAATACCCACGTGTGAGATCCCAGGTGATGTGACAGGTAGGGAACAAGTGTGAGCATCCCAGGTGGATGTGCTCCTGCACAGAGCAGCACTCCAGGGGTGCACAGGGTTCCAACAAGAAGTGCAGCTCATGTTGCCCCTTCTCCTCTTTTTCCCTGGCTGTGTCACTGGGCCCTGGCTGGCTACTGTCTCAGGTGATCAGGACACCACAGCAGAAGAAGGTATGTGCTCCTCAAGGGCTTACACAAGTCATGGTAAAGGATCATGGACAGAGGACTTGGACAGGCAAATCTCAAACTTAGCACACCTAACTTGCAGATTTGTGCCTGTGGCCTGACCATATCATACCCTGAAGCCAAAACAAACTTCCCTCTGCTTCCAGCAGGGAAAGCCTGTTCTCTGTGGGGTGGGCAACATGTGGTGCTCCCACTGCTAGCAGAGCACAGATGTGAGCTAGTGGAAACAGGGTGCCAAAAGCTGAAAGGTAAAGAAAGCAGGCCTGGAACAGGCTGGCAATAAAGTAGATATGCTTATGCTGTTTTTTCTGCAATGTTTGCTACCAGCAACAAAAACAAATAGCAAATGATAATGTGGTATTGACCAACAATGTCAGCAGCAGTCTATACAGGCATCTGCATATATAAAACAACATATGCAATGGCTGCAGCCCCTGGTGCTTTATCTATAGCTTTCTAGGAAATGATCTGGGTGTGAAGCCAGGAACCACTTTCGAACTTTTGAACAGACAGGGCCCAATATGGTTTTAATCTGTTGGTGAAACCTTGGCACGGCTCTACTCAAGGGCAAAACTCTGTATTTAGCAGAGCCAGCATTTCAATCACTACTTTTACAGTTGACCTGAAAAATGTTCCAGCCAAAAAAGCAAAGCAAAGCAAAGCAATAAAGAAGTCATGAGTCCTTATTCTCCCATCCTTCAGAAGGACCTAGGGGTACTCTGGATTGTAGCATCCTCCCCCTGGTGTGGCATGGATATCTTCCAGTCCTAAAGCAGATCCCCCTGTACTTTCACAGGCTGAACTGGTTTTAGTGATGCTGGCTACAATTGCACACAGTTATTTTTAATTAAAATGCATCATGAACCTGTTTATCCTATCAGCAGTGGTTGAGTCACCATCCCTGGAGGTATTTAAAAGACATGCAGATGTGGCACTTGGGGACAAGGCTTAGTCTTGGCAGTGCTAGGTTAACAGCTGGACTTCCAACCTAAATGATTCTGTGATTCTATTTGGTAATACCTGGTCATGACTCTCCTAATCTCCTGCACTTGTTTGCCAGCTGTTGGGACTATGAATAGACAAGCTCATCAGAAGTGAAATGAGAGTATGAAAATCACAGCATGTCTCACTGTTTGGAAGAGTTTTTTCAATTTGAACTTTGCCTCTCAAACGCTCTGGGAATAGCCTTTTACACAGGACTTGGAAACACAGGCAGAAGTGCTCTGATAATGACTCTTACACCATCTGCTTTTGAAAGACTGTTAGCAGCCTTGACAACCTCTGTAATCATTTTCTAGTCATAAAACTACACCTTCAGTGGTGAAACAAAAATGTAACAGAGATATCAGCATCATCTGGCCATATTAATTAATGTCATGGATCAACAACAAAATCTTTTCTTTTTATTACTTCTTGTTAAACTGACACTGTAAGGTCAGTTGAGGGCAGGGGGTTGACAGGGAGATTCCTGTGCACCTTCCAAAGCAAAAAAAAGAGTCAGAATCTCATGTGTATTTTAATCAGAAACTAAAATTTTTGGAAAGCAACTGGATAATATTTTACTGCTAATTATTCAAAGATTCTGAAATAGTACAGTAAACAGGTGAAACTGCTTCAAGAGTACAAAGAGCAAATAAAGCCATGCCTGTGTTACTCCTTAACTGGTTTGCAGCAGATAGCATTCCAACACCACTGTAACTTACCATGGTTTGGGAATTTACCTAAAGCCTCGCTTTGACCAGGTCTGCAAGGTATCATTAAGTTGCAGCCAGGTTCCAAGATTATACAGAATAATTTGTACTAAATATGGGTAGAAAAATGTGCATACTGCTGCAGTGCATCAACAAACAACTTGAATTCATGGCTGGTAACTCAAAACAGTGGGGCTATATGCAAATTTCCCACTCCAAACCATCTTGCATGAGTTCTCTCTTTATAGATGTTTTCTTACTTAATGCAATGAATTTACCATAAAAACTTCTGTACTGTAATATGTAGAGAATGTGAAGCTAGTCAGAGTGGATTTTCTAATATTTTAATGTTTTAATTTTCTCATTTTTCTCTTTTTGCTCCTTTTCTCCTTAGAAAACACAAAAGGTCCACAGAACTTTGTGAATTATTGTCTGTAATGGGAGAAATAAGAAGCCTAAATTTTGCTTGATTGCAGCTATGATGCATTAAGTTCCAGACATCAATCTCAATCGCAGCACTTTTTCTCCAAACAGGCAATATTTTACAGTTATCACTCTCTAAACAAAAAACAATTTATTATACATACAATCTGATAGCTACTGCAGCTACGACTAGAAGCAAAAAAGTCTTCTGACATGAGGGAGGTAAAAGCAATGTCATACTTTAAATTGACTTCATATGATCAATGTGAGAAGACAATCATCTGTGAAATGATGTCCATGCCCTCATCAAATGCAATCACACCATATGCAATTGAATTTGGAAAAAGTGGAAGAAAATTATTCCCATTAGTTTACTGGTGTTCTTAATGTGTTCACACAAATCATTTTTGAATAGATGAATTAAAACACTTAAAGCATCTCTACCTTTGCCCTCTTAATTCTAGGTCATTCTGGCAGCTCCCGGTACTGCAGAAATATGTTTTCCTACAACCAGTTTGATAAAATTAACGGATCAAGTCTTGAACTACTTCCAAAGTCAAAGGTATATAATTTATTTTTTTAATCAAATGTCTCTATGCTGTAAATATTTTTGTCTTCATTATTAAAACAGCAAGAGATTTGAAGCCTGCTTTATTTTTCAGTATATATGCTTCTTTTGTTTTCCAAGATTTTTCCAACAGGAGTGTGATACCCCATTAAAATTTGGTTTTTACACAGCTTTTCTTCATTTTGGTATCCTGATAACACCATATTGCAGATCTCAATGCAAAGAGCACCAATAAATCTTCATAAAATTTCAGTTTGTTCAAATTTGTACATGCATAAATTTATGTGCATACATATGTATTTATCTACATAAATATATGTATATATCCATGTGTGCATATTTATACATATTATATAAATAAAAATTGACATATTTACTAACACATGTGTGTTAGTGAAGCTGGTTTTATTGTCTCTTAGGCTCTGCAATGCAAACAAAATTTAACTAAAAGGAACATTTCCTATGAACTTTGCTTACTTTACACATAGGTAATTCACTTTATTAAAACCAAGAACCTAATTTTTTCTTGGGAGCATCCCTATGTTATCTCCTCTAACTTCCGAGCTCAATCTGCACAGGAGCTTATTTTGCTGCTATGATTTTGGGTTACTTTTTTTCACTTCAGCCAGGAGCTAAATTAGCAAGAGCACATCCCCCTAAGTATAGGTCCATAACCTCACTGCAAATAACGGTTCAGACACTGCCAGCTGAGACCAGCACCCTCACTAACCAGGCTTGATGCTTTTAGACAATGGTCAAGCTGACAATTGACACAGTGTCCTCAAACACACGTTGCTCAACCCATTTGCCTGGCCTGCTGCTGCCAAGAGGGCTGTTTGTGCAGGCAGCTGGCAGGAAGATGGGAGTACATCTGGCGATCCTCCGAGAGTAGGAAGGGAAAATGAAAACATCAGATCTCAGCCAAGCCCAAGATAGGATTCTAGGTAAAGCTCATGTCCTATGGGATCCAAGCATGCTCTTTGGCAAAACAGACTTT